GATACATATACACCAAGTATCAAAGCATTCAGGCTTGTAGTTTTCAAGAAGAAGTCGAAAAAGTAAAACATTGACACGGACGACGACGACGGAGACGATGGACAATCACTCATATGATAAGCTCCGCTCGACAAAGTCGACAGCGGAGCTAAAAATATTATTACATATGTAGCAGTTTTTTTTGATTCGTCCCTGAAATCAAAATCGGTATTTCCACAACCCATATGCAAATGAGGTCTGAGAGCAAACAAAGTAGTTTCTTCAGGAGTACCGCTTTTCAAATTAAACAATATTTAAAAGTACTATATTTTCCCCTTGAGGTACATGAATATACTTGCCGAGTGAAATGAAATTTGAACAACAGTAATGGTACTTTTAGGCAGTCACTTATTTTGACTCAAACTAATTTGCATATCACCCATGCAATAATGTTTTTGGTGTTTTCACAGTCAATATACAAATGAACATGGTATTTCCATTGGCTACAGAACTATTTTATTTTGTAAACACATTTTCGTCTGCTATTTTTATCCGATTCAAATTTTTGGCATGTCAGGTGTACTTCACATGGAATACTACGATTGGGAAAACTTAATGTATGTTGATCACCTGGAAATTGAGTTATATAAACCTTGAAGGGCTCTCGAAAGATCCACCCGCTGTAAAATCAGCGATTACTATAGAGCCGCAACCGTCAACATTGAGATACCAGGAGGTTTCTGCTGGCGTCGTTGCGGCGTTACTGAGTTCCAAATAAAGATTATTAACGCCAAATGAGCAACATTTTAACCGGTAACCAAGACTCATCATCCCGTAAGTGGAGTACCGTACTTGCACGGCATGTTTGCCAATGCACGATTCTGTGGAAGAACTTTTAACTTCAACATAAACTGTGTATCATAGTCGTCCAGTTCAAATTCAGGTTCTGTCGTGGCCCCAACTAAACGTCCATGAGTAATTTATTCGGACAGTGATTCAGATTAAACGTATGATTATTTTATTTCCACACAGACAGTGACACGCGTTCTACACTGACACGCGTTGCTAGGGCGTAACACTGTCATGGAATATATTAATGGCCAATGGGAATGCGGTGTATTCTGCTGTACTGTGCAGTAAGTACGGCTGCAGGATACATCGCATCACTCGTGAAAATAACTTCCATACGCAACGAAAGCCACGGGGAGGGTGTGGGGTTCTGTCATAATATATGATGAGAGGATACTTACTGTTATAACTTCCTGTGCAGTTTGAAAGTCGGTATGTTCTCCTTTTAATGCGATGAAATCTACAGCACATTGTAAGTGATTGCCAGCATCCTGTACCTGCATATTAAATAAGACTGTATACTCAGATGTTGGTATTGTCACTTTATATAAACAACATCTGCTGATTATAGATATAGCCATAATTTTAATTAGCTCATTACATTTCTGGTACTTTCATTGTCAATAGCAGCTAGAATCAACGCAAGTATGTCAAGGAGAAGTCTATACTATCACACAACTGTATAGAATCACAGGGGAACTCATTCTTTTTGCTTGCCCCATAATATACATACACTATATACTATACAAGATATACTATTTTAGAATCTTTACATGTGTAACGGCAATCATTTTGGCCATTGCATAGCAGAAGTCATGCAACCTTGTACTGCCTTCGACAGACATTTTCATTATACTGACATAGTCAGGAGGCCATGACCAGGACAAGGGCATCAGTCGCAGAATCTAGAAGCACTCGTTCTAAATCAAAGCTGAGACCGAACGTGCTTTAGCATACAGAGCTGACGACGATGTCATAAAAAATTGTCAAATTTCGATATTGAAATTCGTTGTTCTTGGCAATGGACCATTATATTTTATGCCGATTTTAGTATTAAATTCTTGTTATCTAACAATTTCTCTTCTTTTTAAATAGTTTCAATCTCTTTTATTCGTTCTCGAAAACAACATTGTATTCATATCAATGGTATGGAGCCTTGATGCTCAAAAATGGGATACATTACCTTGAATAATCTGCTGCAATGACATCTTAAAATCAACTGGTATTGATAATGCTATTATATAATTTGGTTTTATCCAGTTTAAGACCACATTGATTGGGTTTAATCCAGTTTAGATTACACTGATTTGGTTTGATCCAGTTTAGACTACATTAATTTGGTGTGATCCAGTTTAGACAACATTGATTTGGTTTGATCCACTTTATACTACATTGGTTTGATCCAGTTTAAATTACATTGATTTGCTTTGACCCAGTGTAGATCCATTGTGGATCTACAGAGCCACAGCTAGTTTTGAACCACAAAAAATGTCATGTTTACCTGCTGTAACTTCCATGGAATATCTTCTTTAATGAACGTTCTGTAACTTTGATTTGCATGCCGATGTAACCTTATTGTGATGTCCTGCAACAAAACAAAAAGTTATAAACTGACAAACAAAAATAATGAGACAGTGGCATCTTTAACTGTACATGTGTCGAATTAACTGACAAACTATCAACAAACAAGCCATGCATGGCACAGTCCATGTTAATTTAGTTTAAATTTAAGAAAGTTTTGTTTATACATGTAGTAATATAGTTGGAACATAGACATGTCAAGCTGATGCTTGATTATGACTGCTTTTAACATTAAAAGTGGTACGACATTCAGTCTTCTTGTATCTGATCATCAAACAAATACTTGTCCATATTGAGAGACATTGCTCTGGAGCAACATCTGTATATTTATGATGTATAATGAATATATAAAATTTTAACATAATCAGTCAAAGCATGACAGAGATATGGCACTAGAAACACATTGATTAAAACAAAATGGCCACCAGTCAGCCATTTTGAATCTGATCTGAAAAAATATGTGCACCAAGGTTCTATAATGTCCGATGTATATACCAAGTTTGAACAAAATCCATCTGTAAACAGTCGAGAAATGCTTGATTTTGGTGATTTTTCAGTACAAATATGCCCGCCATTAGGCCATCTTGAATCAAATCATGAAACAAATTGATGTATAATATTATGTATGATGTGTGCAGTTTGAATGTAATTAGTCAAGGCATGCCTAAAATATAGGTCTGGATGAATGAATGAACAAACGCACAGATGTTTATCTATTAGTCCCCATTTTCAGACGGTGTTCGAAAGGTGACATTACATAACAGACACATTTGGAACAAGAAGAAAACAACAGGCATTTAATAGACATAATAGACAGAAAATATATTTCTATTATTGTTGTGCTGCATTTAAATAGCTTAGAACAAGAAAATAATGTTACTTACAGCATGGCATATATTATCCCCGAACACTGTGATGACTCCTTTAATGTTGTCACTGCCACTGTAATAAAATATGGCATGATAACAATAATATTGCATAAAATCTTGAATTGAATACAATAACTGCTCCACATTAGAAGCACATCCATACTAGAAATGCAATATAAAACTGACACACCTATTATGGCATGCTCAGAAACAATATTTGTAGATTTGTACGCTCTAGCAATGACACGTTTCATGTGAAGTAAATGGGTGTAAGGAAGGCTGTCCACAACATCTATATTGTTACAGCACCTCGTAACACAGCACTATGTGCCCATTCTCCTCCAGCTAGTCAAGAATTTGAGGCTGAGAACAGAAGATACTGTGCTCTAGTGTCTATAGTGGTATAAAGTAATTTATAAGTTAGAGCTACCGGTAGTTTTGTTTTGGTGTGCTGGGTACAGGGGATGAGAAATATTTACAGTGTATAGCAAGAGTGTGGCAGGAGGGCTACTGAATATTGAGTTAAAAACAACTTTTGTACACCGCATTTAAGTGTGGTGCCTTCTAACATCATGATATTTTTGACAATACTTTGTAATGCAAGGTGGGATGTGTATGTACATATACATGTGTATTTGATTCTATATGCACAGCAGTCTCAGTGGAACTTATCGGATTCTCAGAATAGTAAGCGTATTCATCCAGAACAAAGCATTCAACCGAAAGAAGTACAAATTGGTTATCAGGTAAGTGTGAATCATGTGATACCTATGATGATCAAACATCCTGTGAAGCAACTTTTACAAGATAAGTCAGGTTTTAAAGCTAGAGATGGGCAATGAACAAGCGAACAAGTTAACAGTTGATACAGAAATGGACACCAAATAGGCAATCACACATACTTTACAACAGACTGTATGAACCCATGTCGGGCTAGGATCAAAACCAGATTACTTTTAATTCTATGACAAGCATTTATCCCATATTTCACCACTCCAGGAGTAAATAACAATTCATGGAGTGACAATACAGCAGAGCATGAAATTTAAATTATTCATTTCAAAGACCCTAGTATTATGAAATCTATGAAAGCATATATAGGACACACAGCATGTGTATGCAAAGAACAGGTTTTCCATCACAATACAGTAATACATGCAGCAATTGGAACAGGGACAGGTAAGTGAAAGTAGTGAGTGAAAGTAAGTAGTACCGGTAGTTGAATCTGTAGACAACAGCATTATTGGAAGCAGAATCCAATAGTTTTCACTGCTGAAATGATAGCAATCACAGGCAGTAAAGATGAGAGAATAATAACTGGGCTATCAACATATATGGGTTGACACATGTTTGAATAGGTTACCAACAGCTTCTGAGTCAGACAATACCAGATGTGCACATGTTGTCTAGTATCAATGAAAGAATGCAAGGTGTTTTGAGGTTCTGCCAGTGAATTATGATGTATCGATAATGGGATTTGTATGAGGTTCTGTCAAAGGGATTAGGGTGTAATGGGATTTGTCTGAGGTTCAGCAACTGGATTAGGATGTAATGGGATTTGTCTTAGTTTCTGCCACTGGATTAGGGTGTAATGGGATTTGTCTGAGGTTCTGTCAAAGGGATTAGGGTGTAATGGGATTTGTCTGAGGTTCAGCAACTGGATTAGGATGTAATGGGATTTGTCTTAGTTTCTGCCACTGGATTAGGGTGTAATGGGATTTGTCTGAGGTTCTGTCAAAGGGATTAGGGTGTAATGGGATTTGTCTGAGGTTCAGCAACTGGATTAGGATGTAATGGGATTTGTCTTAGTTTCTGCCACTGGATT